TAATACTGCTCCTCTTTTATCTGCCATTTGTCCTTTTGTTTTATGGCTCTCTTTGTTGCAAGCTGCTTTGTTGTTTCTTCCAGATTATGCTCCTCAGGGACTTTTGTATCAGTGTGACTGAACATTGCTTGCAGCCATGCCAGATTGTGCTGTGATCTTACTGGATTTCACAAACCAAGGTTAGGCCAGGTTAGAACTTGGTTGAAATAACACAGACTACAAGATTGCCTGCTAGCCACTGGGAACATGCACAACAAAAACCTGACCTAGATGCTGATTCAGTCAGCTCAGGCTGACAGCGTTACCATGCTGATTGTGGTGGATGTGATATAAAGGAGAAGTTCTGACCTGTTCTGGCTGGTAGGATTTCACAGCTTTTTTTTTTTTTTTTTGAGAAAAGTACTGATGTTAATTCCAGTGTTCTGGCCCATTCCAAATCCTTTAATTCTCTATCAGGATTACACTGCAATTTGACAGAATATTATATTCTCTGATCTTCTTTTCCCTGTACTGCTCTGTGATGTTGTTTGCCCTCAAAAGTTGCTACTGCTGTCCAAAAGGCTGCATTCCTGTTCTGGGTGAAATAGTTTTGAAATTTTCTTTGCTTTCCTGATCTTCTGAAGCAAAATAAAGTATACCAGGGCATTCAAATGAAAGGCCCCAGAAAGGTAGAAATTATTAGTAAAAGTAGCAAACAGAAAATTGTAGTTGAGCTTTTCTCAGAGTTGCCTGAGCTTTCTGACCAAAAGACTGCACGAAGATGAGTTAAGTGTGTTCAGACTTCGCTTCACTGAGTGCATACTAGGTGGGAAATGGCATGCCGTTATGCTAGAGTGCCCCAAAATGATTCAAGGACACATTATATAGATAAGGCTTTTCTAATTATTGTAAGGGTATTTGGACCTGTTTGTGTTATATAGGAATAAGCTCTTAAAAACCCTTAAAATAAACCTGTAAGAGGCTAGAAAGTGAACATCGAAAAGTATGTGATGGTGTGAAATAAAGGCCAGAATTGATCTGGGCTACGTGTACCAACCTTTGTTTCATCCCACCCCACAGCGAGCCTGAGGGAGGGCTGCTGGAGGGTTCGTTTGCCGGCATCCGTGCTGGAGCAATACTCATGAAGTAGAGGGAAGAGAGATCAATCAACTAGAGATATCTTGGTGTGCACGGATGTACACTGATAGACTTAAATCTATTAGAAGAGCTGAATATATCTAGCTAAGCAGCACTTGTTGGGTGCAACGCTGCCATTAAGCACACTTAAAGAGTGTAAATTGTGAAGCTGCAGAGGAGTTAGTTAATGAGGTACAAAAGGGCAGAGGTGACTAGGAGTCAGGGAATGAAATACTTCAGACTGGATCAGGAAAAACTTCCTGTCAGTTTAAGATGTAATGTGATGTCTTTCTGTGAATATGTAAAATTAGTCCGGGGAACGAAGTCTGTAATGCATCGTACCTGCTGGAACAATTTGCTGTGGCAGGATGTGGAATGGATGACCAGGTATATACCCCCCTGGAGTATTTTAATCTTTTGAAGGTTTTAGGTTTGCTTTTCTCAGTCAGCGTCTGTATTTCGAGTGTCCAAGTTGTGCTTTTTAACTGGATGTTGAGCATCGTGACTTTTAAATCCCAGTTTATATACATGTCTGCATAGACAAAATAGGGAATTTAAAAATGGAGTAGGAAGATTAATATTGGATAAAAGTTGGGATTTGCAGTCTGATTGGAAACATTTGCCCACTGGCATTGAGGTTACCCGTAAGTGTTCTTAATAGGTAAATTATCTCTGTCTTTGATAATCCTAATCGTTAGTGCAAAGCTTGGCACTGCCAGTGGAGATATGGAAGGTGTAGTGCAGAAGAAGGCTGGAAGGAGTCTTTCATCTCTGCCATCCCTTGCCAAGGGCTTACCGTACATGCAAATTCATCAGCTCTTCCATTGTGGAGCATTTATATATCCTGGAGAGGGTGAAATCTGGTAGTTAATTGCTCTGTATGCTCAGGGGGCCGTTCTCCAATGGAAGAATCTGGAGGGTGGGACTGTAGTGGCTGGTGTTGCTACGGTGTTAATAAGTATGTAGGGGAGTGTTCTGCGGAAGGGTATGAAGAGCTTTGTTGATTCATTCTGTTCCTACCTCTGTCACAGGAAGAGCCAGCCTGGCTAGTCTTTTTTATGAAAACAGCATGACTGATGTTTGCCTGCTGGACAGATATGCTGGATAAGTTGGTGGTTTGGTTTTTTTGGCTGTTGTTTTCAGCTGTTATTTACAGGATCAATAAAAGTGATTTTCCAATTCAAGGATAATTTTTACCGCCAAGCTGCATAGCCTCTAGGTTGGAATATTGGATCTGCTCTTTTTCAGAACAAGTTAATTTAAAAATGATAGGTAGTTTCCAGTTCAGAATTAGTTTTTTTCTAATAGAAAGGAGGGATGCAGCTGGAAGAAACACCTTGGGGGAGAGAATTTTGCCTCAGAACATCATTACGCACTGCCCACAGATACTTAACGTTTTAGCTGCTTTTCTTGAAACAATAATCACTTAACTGCACACACAATTTTCATGACAAATGCCACATAATAACAAACTGCAGAGCTATTTTATTATAAACCTGGTTCAGTTACTGTTGAAGTCAGTGCAAATACTCCTGTGGACTTTACTGGGCTTGGCTGATGCCCTCTGTAAAGTGCAATATAATATTTTGTGACCGTTGTGACCATAGAGAAGAGTATTTTATGCCATTGTGGAAATATTCCAGGCCAATAGCAAGTGTATTCACACATACAAGTTCAAATGCCATTTGTTCCTTTTGCACAGTTATTTTATCTGATTCTTTTGTGACCTGTTGAGAAAATCATGTATACGCTACACATGCACATGCACACACACACAAATACTCATGTATTTTAACAGATGCTGCATTCCTCCCCTCTTGCGTTTACCATTCTCCCCCATTGCATGCTTCAGATAAGTCTCCATTCTAAAAGGACTGTCAGTATGAGACTTCTGCAGTTCTGCCTGTACGGTTGGTGTAAGATACAGCTTTAAACGAGTACAATCAAGCAGGTATCATTTTATAACCAGGAACCCACACCTACTATCAGTATGAATTTTGCAGGATAAGAACAAAATAGCCAAGAAATGTTCTTCCACTGGAAGCACTACAAATGAACTTTACATGCCAGAAAATTTGATTAGATTTTTAGATAAAAAAACCCCCCACAGTAATTTTTTAGATCAAAGTCAACCCATCCGAAGCCCCAGAGCATCATCAACCATAAGCAGAGTCTCTCTACTCTTCCTGGACTCTAAAATTAGACTAGGGCTTTTGGTGTTGTTACCTATAAAATACAGTCTGTGGAAGTCCACATAGAAATCAAATGCCATTAACTTTTAGAAGCTTTGGGTTCAGACCCAAAATACTGTAAGTAGTCATGTTCCATTTTTCTCAGTCTACACATCCATACATTTTATTCAGCAAAAAAGAAAATGACATACACACTTTATGATTCCCCCTTCCTCCTTCATAATATGAAATGCATGGAAAAAAAAAAGGAAGGTTTGTTTGGTTTTGTTGTTTGGTTTTTTGGGTTTTTTTATGACAGAACAATTTGAGGGTGAAGATTTCTTAAAAAAATTAGAAGATTTTTCTTTACCATGATTAGGGTAAAGTTTTCCTTTTTTAGATGGTGAATTGTTTATGATGTTCCAGTAAGAATCTGGCATTTGGATGGCTGTGTTGCTAATGAGAGCTACTGGCAATAGAAGCTTTCTAACACTCAACTGCTGGTTTATTAAAAGAATAATAGGAACAGATGTTTTCAATTCATAAAATGTATCAAGTAAATGGTACATCCACTTGTTATTTCAATTCCTTTGAATTTTAGTGAACTCATTTGGGGCTAGGTTTTCAAAAGAGCTTAGCCCACTGTCGCCTCATTGTTCTCAGTATAAACTGATGGATGATGAACATGTTTGAAACCCACAGCTTTCTATGCCTAAAGGGGAGCTGCTAAATACTGACGCTTCTAAAAATCTGGCCCATGTTTCTGATGAGTGAATACTGATCATTATAGAGGATTCATACATGCAATCTCTGAGTAATACCCTGCATTTGTCTGTGATTGTATATATGATGGCTTCTTAATTTACTATTGCACTAGGCATTTTAATTTAAATTGTGCTAATAGTGTAGGATTAACTGTGGATTATGATTCTAGCATTTACTGTCATACAAACAGAAGAACCAGTTCTTTTGCTTCTACGGTCTCTTTCTCCCTTCTCATCCTGAGGTATAGTAATTTGTACTCAAGACTGGCCTCAGGTTTTGATGAGGTTTCTTGTTTAAGCTGATGCAATTGCTTAGGGAAAGGGAGTTGTTGAAAATGAGAAAAAGAAGAGGCTGGGATTTTTTTATCTCCTGATGACACATTTTTATGGTACTGAAATGATTTACCAAAAACGATGATTTGAATCTGCTCTTGCCAGCATTGCAGTGAGCAGTTCTGGTTTTGCCTCATCCCTCTGAGGTAGGACAGGCTACCTGTACTTTGCTTTTGCACTCTTGGCTCAAACACATATATGAGAAAACTAGTGCTAGAGGGTTATATTAAAACCCTCATAAAGGGTGAAGAATAAATAATACATGCAACAGGACTGAGATGTTATGTTGGTCCTTGCTAGAGGAAAGAGTAGGAGGCCAGTGCTGTTGCTATCTCCAGTACTGAAAAAAACTTCGTAGCAGCCTGAGATTGCTCCTCTTGAAGCATAACCTCTCCAGAGATCTCCTCCACTCCCAAGCTGCAGCTGTGCTGGAAACCCAGATTTGCCTCGTTATGTTTGCACTTGTTTCATTCTGTTGCAACCTCAGATTGTAACGGCATGCGGCCTGTTTGCATTAGTGACTTGCTGTTCAATTCATCTGTATTCCTTCAAATCCCTCATTTGTTGCATTTTTTGTGGAGTGCTTGATATTTCTAATGGCCTTGTGTTGTAGTAGCAGTCTAAAATTTGTCCTTTTTCTCTTTTTCCTCCAGCTGATATTATTTCTACAGTTGAGTTCAACCACACTGGAGAACTGCTGGCTACTGGTGACAAGGGGGGTCGGGTTGTTATATTCCAAAGGGAACCTGAGGTATGTGAGTTACCAATGTAGTCCTTAACAGCCTGCTAAAACCTGGCTTCATTTTTAATACTTTAATTGGATCTAACAAACTTGTTTATTATCTCAAGATTCAGTAAAACAGAATGCCACCTCTTTGGAGAGGAATTGAAAGAGGGTAAGGATCTTTTACTCAGAAGTTTGCTCTCCCAAACAAAAATGCTTCAAAGCTCCAAAATTCTAAGCTAAGAAAAAAGGTTGTTTTTGTTTTACTTCTACATTCTTTTAATAGCTTTTGCCTGTTTGATGGAACCATTCCATTTAAAACAATGCCTTTGCTGTGATACCTTTATGTTTCACTTTTAAATTCAGTCTATCTGCGGTATTTTTTGTAGAAAGCTTGCCTGAATAATTGACAGTTCTTCAAAAATTCTGCCTTTTATTAAATGTTGCTTCAATACTTACAGGAAATTTAATTCCTGTAGAAACAAATATGTCAATATCATGTTTTAAATGAGAAATTAAATTACACTTTCAATATTTTTATATTTGTAAGGCTGCTTATACACCTTTCCTAAGAGATGGAGATATATTGCCATCATAAACCACATGTTTTTGTTGTTCTTATTCTCCATAGAGTAAAAATGAGCCTTACAATCAGGGGGAGTACAATGTTTACAGCACTTTCCAGAGCCATGAACCTGAATTTGATTATTTGAAGAGTTTGGAGATAGAAGAAAAAATAAACAAGATCAAGTGGTTACCACAGCAAAATGCAGCTCACTCACTTTTATCAACAAATGGTAAGATAGATGAGAGTATGTGGGACATATCAGCATTTTACTCGTTTTAGTGCTGACTGTGTTATATTTGTTCATTTTAATCTACTGTTTTAGTAATTTCCTCTTTCAGAGTTTACCAAGACTGTCATACTGACTCTGATATCTGTTATTTATGTATTTTATTCATCATCATAGGGTTTTTCCTATTGACTATCCATAGACATTTAGAGAGCTATCCATTTTTGCTATTAACATGCAGTGCTATCCTGAAATAAATTTTGTGACAAAGGCATCACCTTACTCAGCAGCTGTGTTTCACTGGGGATTTAGAATTTTGTCTGCTGTATTTGTCATAACTTTTATTCTTTGTAGATGTGTAAATGAATGTAGGTGAGAGAGATGAATTTCTTTTTCTTTTCATTCATTATCATGAGAATGGTTTATTTAAGTTCTGAAGAGTTACACAAATCTTTGGAAGGCAGTAGGAATAATAATGGGATATTGATACTGACTCATCTTTCTAACATGCTTAAGGCCTATTGATTAAAAAAATGCAGTGTTATTGCTAAGAGGGGATATGCAGATGTGACATAGGGGGAAGAAACTGAATGGAGCCTAACATGCACAGGTGTCATTTAGGAAACATTTGGACAGCCACAACCTTTATTACTGCTAGTGATGCATGAGACAGAAATACCCAATTTTAAATCTTAGATCTCATTATAATCAGAAAAGAGTTTTTCTTGTAGAAATCTGAGCATAATTGGGAATTGCTGATAGAAAAATAGTGTAATCTCACCTTTGGGAATTGATGCTTTAGGGCAAAGTGATTAATTCTAGTTAAAAATTATAGCAATAAATAATATTTACATTAACTCACAGTAGATAGCAATTTATTTTATGTTTTGTAGTATGTTTTCCTTAAAGTTGTCTTTTGACTTTTTGGGGGGACTGTTGCAATATTTGAAATGAAACTTGTCTGTTATAGCTAGGTGATTTGTGCTAATTTAATGGTTAGTCAGGTAATTATGCAGTTTGGGAGTTTACTTCTACACATCTCCCATGGTCAAAATATCCCTTCTACTTCAGATAACTTCAACTAAGAACAGCTTCTTCCAAGTGCATGATGCAAAAGCAGATTATTAAACCTCTCCCTTTTCATTTTAAAGTTTGTTTTTGGAAACACTGAGGAATACAGTCGAGTCCTCAGATACGCTGTTTTTACAGTTGGCCTAATAGACCTTTATATCATTTTTCTGGTTGATACTAATATGGGAGGGGAGAAAGGAAGAAATAATCAGTCTTAGTGTTGCTATGGGTGAATCCAGTTGCAGCCAACACTGAGCAAGCCTGGGACCTGGCAAAATACTTTGGCCTCTGTTTTTCCCCCCTTCTTAGTTCTGGAGCATCCCAGCAGACCTCTTTATGGTGAGAAGAACAGAAGTGGTGCCACTGGCATAGCCTTTGGATTTTGGCTTTGAATTACAAAACATTTTTGTGTGCCAAGGAGGATTCCTAGCTTCCTGGCACAGCAGGGTTGAAGCCTGAAGATTCACGTCTTGGCATACTCTTAAAGATAGTTTTAACTTTAGGATACAGAAGGCCCATGTTGAATTCCTCGCTGTCTCACAGATTACCTGTGAGACATCATTGACCATGTATATCAATGCCATGACGATAAAAAGGGATAATAGTATTTTCCCTAACTTATAGAGAATGAAGGCGTTACCTGTCACACCGGCTCATATTGGGCAGGTTGTAGAAACATCTTGAGTACTGGTTTACGTTTACTACTTTCTGAACCTGATATTTTAATGCCATTTTTGGTATTTTGCTCTCTGGTAGTTTAGGATCTAAAGCACAGTTTTAGTCAGAAAAATGAGAACTGTGAAACAGCATCCTTTCTTTCTGCAGGCACAGGTGGGCAATGCCCACTGAATTTGCTGGAAGGAGCATCTCTCTGTTAGGGAACATGAGGGGAGAGTCCGTCTAAATCTCACCCTCAATGTATGAAACTTGGCAGGTCTGCACCTGCCCAAATCTGTTTCCGTTCTTCTAAGGAAGACTTCTGTCTGAGGCTGTTCCTGCACGGGTCACCCCTCTCAGAGGGGATCCTGGTTCCTTTCCAGTTCACACGTTACCAACAAGTCATCAGCTAAGCTTTGATTGCAGCATCTTAATTCATGGAGGCAGAAGGAAACCACCAAGGCTTCTGAATCCCACTGGATTTGAAGTGCTTGCAGTTAGCAAATTTCTGATTTGCGCTGTAAACTGAACTGATCTTGTAGTATAATAATAAATTATTAGGATTCATTGGTATCTTTTGTACCAGAATATATTGGGCCACTTTAAATGTGAGCTGCACCGGGTAGATCAGAATTTGGCCCGTACAGATCCTTTCATCTGAGGATTTCAGAATGCTTACCAGACATTAATTAATTTAAACTTCACAACACCCTTGAGACTGAATGAATGCTGAACCTCACAGAGACGTTTGTTTCTATATTTTGTGAAATATAAGCACGCTTAGAATTTCTAGGGAGTTTTTCAAGTCCAAAGGCAGATGAAGGAGAAGAAAACCAAGACATTTGATACCCTTAATGACTAATAAAATTGTTTTCACTCAGGAACGTGGTGGTTTATCAATAGCAGTCAAGTCCAACAATGGAAAATTGTTTGCGGTTTTTCTTATAGTTCATTTTACAATTGCTGTATTTATCAATTTTAGAATATACATATAATATATATATACACACACATATATACATATAGAAATCCCAAGTGCATGACATGGCCTGCATGTATTTTTAGTAATTAATTAACATGACCAATACAAATGAAATGTATTGAATACTGAAATGGAGCTTTTTAGTTGCAGATTGAACTAACCTCTTGTTCTGTATATTGATCAATTGTAGTATTTTTGTTGCTTGAAAATTAGCATATCAATATCGTTAGGAGATGCATAATAGTAAAAACACTGAGAGCAGTGGAGGATTGATTTCAAAACAAAAAAAGATCAAAGTTAAAGTTGCTATAGCAATACAACGTGATTCATGTATTCATATATCCTGCCTTTAAAATGATTTGTACTAGCATCTGAAAGAAGTATTTGGATCAGCCACAGTGGGGAAAGAATTATGCTTTGCTATGTACTTTGGGAAAGAGGGGTAAAGAAGGAGAGTGGGATGAAATCAGAAATGATGCAGGAACTGAGGTTAATGAAAGCTCTGGTGGCAGCTGAAGTACAGAGGCTTTGGAAGGGCTTTGGCTGCTTCGTGAACAGGTGAGTGAAACAACCATTAGAAGCTTGGGGACAGGTTTTTTTGCAGAAGAGCTGGCATTGATTTTTCAGCCTAGGGAGTGTTAAGGTTGGCAGGTTGGGTGCATGACCAGAGTGGGAGTGGGAGGGAAATCTGCAGCTTCAGCTACTACAAAAACAAGGACAAACTCCATCTGAAATGTTTAAAACTTCTATTTGTTGGCTTCAGAGGCTCTTTGCTAAACGAAGGGCATCCTTATTCTATCATCATATGCTTCACCCATCATGAAAAAGGGAGAGTTTAGATTTAATTCCATTCCATGTAAGATTAATATATTTTTCTCCCCACTTCTCTCTCTTACCCTTACAACACAATTTTCAGGTTTTTTTCTCAGTTATTTCTCAGCTGCTTTCCCTTAGGAGGGAGAAATGTCTCATTTTTCACACAGCCTTTCATTTTCTGGAGCTCCTGATGTTACACCAATACACCACTGCCCATTCCCACAATGGGCCAGGCAGGTATCATTGGTCTGTCTGTCTACTCCATGCTCTTCTTGTGCTGTTTATAAGTAACCTAGCAAACTGGCTTTAATATCAGGATTATTTCTTTGTGAAGTCAAATTGTCAAACTGAGCTTCAGCAGTGAGCATTGAGTGGTTTTGGTCTGTTCCACCTGCAAACTGCCAAGTTGGATACAAGAGCAGCATGTGCTCTACATGCTCTGCATGGTCTGTCAGCTGCCAGGAACCTCTGACTCGGTTTGAAGGTATGGGATGTGCTTTATGGGTATTTTTTCTGTTGGCAACATTTTCTGGATGTGCAAAATTAAGTGACCCAGACTGTTTCAGCATGGGACTTGCCTAAACCATGGTGTAGAAACTTCTTTAAGGAATATATTGTGAAAGGTTAGTAACCACATTCAGAATTCCTATGCTGACAGTTGTTTGTCTTTTCTTTTAAAGATAAAACAATCAAGTTATGGAAAATTACTGAAAGAGATAAGAGACCAGAGGGGTACAACTTAAAAGATGAAGAAGGAAAACTTAAAGATCTTTCTACAGTAACATCACTGCAGGTAAGCTGCTGTCTGTGTCCACAATCCAGTTGTTTCTGTACGAAGAAGGTAGTCATGGGTGCTAACTCAGTAAAAGATTTAAATATGTGCCTAATGCTAAGCATATATATGATTATCCTCATTGAAGTTTTAGCTGACTGATAACGGTCTTGAATCTGTCACACATTTTCAAGTCACAAATGCTTTATGATACCATAGTGACCAATACAAATATTTTTGGAGTGTTTATGTCAGTTTTATTCTTCCTGATGAAATTCTCTCAGTGTGACTTAATGTGCTTTCACAGAGGCTTCTTTAGCCTTGTGTGCTGGAAGCATTCTACTTGTAATTAATACTAAACAGTGTTTTTGCCTCATTCAGAGCACCTGAGTTCAAGACGTACACCAAATTTCAGTCTCATCTTTATTTCAGTAGTATAAAAGAATTATCTCCTATCTGAAGAGTGGGATTTGCAGTAGTCTGTGCTCCAGTGAACGTGAGGTTCTGCATTGCTGAACAGACGCAGTCATGGAACTCGTATAATTGTGTGTGAGAATGTAATAGATTTTTGCTCTCAGACTTTAATGGCTGAATTCACTCCAGGTGTTTTGGCAAGGGAATTGGCTAAAGGTTAGAACTGGAAGTCTATGTTGTATAAATGCGAGTATTTCTTTATTATTAAAAGCAACCAACCAACCCCCACCCCCAAAACAAACCAATATTGTCTATTGTGAAAAAGCTTCTGAAGTATAAAGATGACTACATTAATGGAATATTTATCTATTCTGTATGATTGGTCAAACAAAACCATTCCAGATTGCTTATAGTCTAAGAATTCAAAGGCTGAGCGAACCACTGTCTTGTTCCTTTAGTGGCAAGCTAAACTCAAAGCTTTAACTTCTCTGTGTTCCTCTTTAAACTATCTTGAGGACTGATGTATGATAGACTGTTTCTGATGCATGTTCAACAACATCGAATAGTCCCAATCATGGACCACAGCCTAGAGGTGTTTAATGCTTTACCAACAGGGAATAAATTGATAGTGTCTAGTTATTGGAGCATGACATTGAAGTGACACACAGGGAAATAACGAGGGCACAATGATGAGTGATAGTCTGTGGTCCTGGCTTTTCAGGAGAATGTGTGTATGTATGGCATGTCAATACACGTTGGCTTTGTCTTCCAAGACTTCGTTTGTTATGTTTTGCCAAGATGATAACCTTTTCACTACTTGAGTTTTTGAAAGAGAGATGTCACGTAGCAAAACAAATACTCTTAAGTGATTTACAACTAACAGCAAACTCTTTAGCAAAGGCAAAATACTGGGACCTCACTGCTTGTCAGAGCCAGAGCCTCCTGCATATGTGGGACAGTAGCTCCTGCTGTGGGACTGGCCTGTTCTGTGGCAGGGGGCCACGGTTCCTCCTCCCTCTGCCTGGCTCTCTGTGGCTCTCCTGCCTCTCCCTTCCTCCTTGGCAGGGATGGCCTTGCCCAGCAATTCTTCCATGGGGAAATTCAGCTTGCATACACTGTCGAGAAGTTTTATAATGTCACAGTCTTTGAATGCTTGCTCTCCGTTGAAACTCTCATCATCCTGGCAAAAAACTATTTAAAATCTTACTCCCTTTCTGGTTTGTGGTTTTTTTTTTTCTGGCAGGTGCCTGTATTGAAGCCTATGGATTTGATGGTAGAAGTCACTCCCCGGAGAATCTTTGCTAATGGTCACACCTATCATGTCAACTCAATATCCGTCAACAGTGACTGTGAGACATACATGTCAGCGGATGATCTCAGGATTAACCTCTGGCATTTAGCAATCACAGATAGGAGCTTCAGTATCCTTTATTGTGGTTCCTTGCTCAGTGTTGATAGTATTAGTGGAGCTTAAGAGAGCTGTTTTAAAATATTTTTCTGCAGACTTTAAAATACATGTTTACTTATCAGAATCCCTGCAGTATTTGCAACAGAAAATGCTCGAATATCATGAGAGACAGCTAAGAGGCTGCAAAAATCAGGGAATTTTATGTGAAAAATAACAGTCTTGGAGTTGGTTAATAAGGAGTAAATAGAAAACTGATGCCAGCTGAATGGTAACTCTCCACCTGACTAGAATACTCTATACTGTTATTTCCTGAAGACATTTCATGCTGAGCTACTCCACCTTGTTTTACTGAAAGGTCAGTCCTTACCCTGACCGTGCCCCCTGTTCTCCATCATCCTGCTTCCCAAAACTGTAATGCCTGAGATGTGCATAGTTTGGGAGTAAGGCTCAGCTGCTTTGTGTGAGTAGTTGTGTCTGTGATTAATGGAGTCATTGCTGTATCAGGTGCTGGTATCATCCTGAAAGCTGTGTTATGGGATCATTCCGGTCATCTGTGAGGCTGTCCCTTGCACTGCAACACGGTGGCTTGGAGGAGGAGCAAAAGAAAATGTCGCCAAGAAAAGTGATTCTCTGTGTTTTGCATAACATAAAGGGACCGGTAAGAAGAGAAATACATTATGGGGCCAGCTCACAATGTTGTGTTCCTTTGGTGATTTCTTAAGTATTTCTAAAGGAGTTAGAAGAGTATTTCCCTGTGGATTTGTATGAAGGACTGTTAGATGTCAAAGTGAAGTTGTCAGACTGGGGGCAAATTCCTAAAAGAAAGCACTAATGTGATGGGGTGTTCTCCCTGCCTCTGGTGATTGTTTATATTTCTTCCTTCATAGGCCACATCATCTGTGGAGCTTAACCCATGCTTTGTTAATGTCACAGGAAAGATTTTCATTAAATCAAATAAGTCTTAATGTCCTTAAAAAACTGCCTTTGCAGGATCAAGTGGCAGGTGCCTTTACCCTGAGGACTGTAGGGAATATCTCCTCAATTTGTCTGAACTCGTATTCTTTTTCTGTCTTTCACCCGTCTAGATTAAGCAAGCTAAATGGTGCCGTCTTTAATATGAGTGTTTATATAGGACCAATTTATGTGTGTTTTTTCAAAGTCTAGCTATGTCTGCCTTTGATATCCAAGCAACTGTACTTCCATTCTTTAGTAAGAGAGAACAGACTGGGAAAATTTTTTGCCAGCACGCCTATAAGGAGTAGCAGCGTGGCTCCTGACAGTGTGCTCCTCACTGTAGCTTCACCCTCTAGTCTTGTCTCTGTCGTGGACACTTCTGTACATGGCTACTGTGTGTTCTCCTCTACTGTGTATCCTCCTCTTTCTTCTAAAGCAGAGCAGTGAGTCAGACCAAGCACAGCAATCTCTGTATATCTGTGTATGATAACCACATCACATTCCAGAATACTTATGCAAGTCTTTGCTTTTGGCAGTCCCTTTTATTCTGTTAAAGCTGTTTTATAAGCTATGGATTGCCAAGAGAAATGTTTCTGATGAGTTTTAAAAACCCAAATAAATAGTTATTATAGTTTGTGAGGACAACATGAGTTTTTATTAAGTCATTTGCCACACTAAGAGCTTACTGACAGAAATATCAGCCCCAAATGAATTTTTAAACCCCAAATGCATGTAAATCCTTGAAAAGAAAAGGCTTACTATGAAAGTATTGGTACAATCAGGGCAAAAGTATTGTGAATATGGTAGTGTAAAATAATTCTTAGTGTTTATGCAGAGCTTTTTATCTCAACATCCTTTATATACGTTGATCAGTTTATCCTTACAAAAGATTAAGAGCCTGGTAGGTAGATGAATTAGTCTACTAGTTTGTGGATGAGGAAACTGAGGCAGAAAATGTAAAGAAATACTTGTGAAAACTATAAATTTCATAGTCCTGATTAACAACATTACATTTGCCCTTTGTATGAAAACACTTGTATGCAGGCTTCAGAAGCACTCGGCCTCCAATAATGTTTCAAATTCTAGCAATATACTAGGAAAGAGCAGAAAACCAGACTTAGTCTTACGATCATAACTACTACCATATGTCTTGATGGAACAGCATGGATAGCAAAATTATTTGAGATTGAATAATTGTTTAGGATGTTATTGCTTCCACTTCTGCATGTTCGACTGCTATATTCGGTGACAGCTGCATGGACTCTGTTTCAAGCATGAGCACACTCCTGTTATTGAATATTTACTGATAAAAAGTGGTTTAGTTTCTGATTGATTCATTGATTTAACTCTTAAAACATGATTCAACTTATAGTAGCATGCTCAATTTCTGAGTATGTTCCAAGAGTGATGATGAGGGAGAAATTAAGAGTGTGTTTCCAAATTTTAGGACATGAAACTTTTCCTGTATCTGAGTGGCTTTGGGATACTTATGTGGATGTCTTTGGAATAACTGGATTTCTATCCTGGATTGGATACAGATATTGCTGCTGCTTTTAGATACACATGAACAAACATCTGGGAGGAATGTGATGAGACAGTTTAGACAGCAATAGGAGAGAACACTAGGTAAAGGGATGATCAGTGCTGGGGGCCAACTGTTCTTTGCTAAGGTGGGCATGGTGGCAGCAGATTGACTTTTGTGGCTGCATACCAATATGTATTCAAGAGAGTAGACCAAGTTAAATGGGCTGTATCTGCTTCTGTTTCAGGCAATATAACCTGTATCTGTACTCACTTGTCCAAACCAGATCATCGGGCAGATTATCTTTACTTAATTCTTTGATAAACAGAAAAGTTGAGATAGGTATTCCAAAAGAAGGTGAGATAGTTGCAGAATATTGCTCATATTGGGGAATTAATTGGGAGGCCGTGATAACTGGAAGAAGGGGATGAGTAAGTTAAACTTGCATCAGTCTTTCCACAGCTATCTTTTTGTCCATATAAAGCTCTGTAAGTCCTTGTAAAATTGCAGGGGCACATTTTCCACTAGATTTTAACATCTGTCCTACCTGTCCTACAGAAAACCCAGTTACCTAAAACTCTCCTGGAAGTAGATGAGCTTCTGGTAAAAACATTGGGTGTGCCAGTTGCAATTAGGACTAGACATATTAAGATGAAAAAATTCTGCCAAGCAAACAGTTTAAATTATAAATGAGTGTTGCTGGGCTTGGTGCTTTCTGCAGCATACTTAGGGGGACAGGCAGGAGGAGGCTCAGGCAGTTTTAAAAATGCTTGCTTCACATCTTTTTACTAGATGCAAAATGGAGATGAAGCATCTTGCTGTTTTACATGCAAGGCTTGATTCCTTGAAATACATGCTTAAAACAATAACCAGAAAACCTTTTGGTTTGAAGTGGCATTTGTTGATAAGGCATCTGGCAGTGATGTGTATTTGTCTTTCTACTTTCCCTCAGAGGCAGCAGTGCTACATATAATGAACTACAATCTGTTTATCCAAGAGGCTGGTTGTGACAATGACACAAACAGCAAATACAGTGGTAGAGTTTCTGGACATTCAGCTCATGTTTGAACATCTTTACAAATTGCATGGGAAATGCTGGAGAAAGAACGGATTAGCAGCAGTATGCTAGGGTGTTTTTCAAGTAAAGTACTGTGTCTTGTAGAATTTTATTTGAGAACAGTTGGATTATTACCATTATTTTAGCAGTTTTACAAATCACTGAGAATTGTTAATTTCTTTTAAAATGAAAAGTCAAAGCAATGCAGATCTTCCGTTAATTCTCTTTCTGTCTCCTTTGGAAAATATTTTAAATCAGCAGAATATTTGCCTTAGGAAAAGCCTTAGGCAAATAAAATGCAATTAGTGGTTTTCTGGTTTGCTTTTGTATTAGCATAAACACTAAATGGGGTAAAAAGCAGACAAGTGAGTTTTATGCTATGGCTGTGTAAATTTTCATGAGGAATATGCAAGACTTCTGTACATTGCTTCCCACTTGCAAGCAGATTTGCTCAGTGTCATTTGGGCAGTAGGAGGCAAGGGAGAGGAGGAGGTGATGGAAAAGGAAGGGGGAAGGTCAGCTGGTAAATAATTGCACATAGGAGGCTTTTCTTCGCTAAAAGGTTTAATGTGTTTGGTTGTGTTATGGAGAACGAGAGTCAGTGTCCTTAATTATGGATGATATTCTTCACTGGAAAAGAAGTGAGGTAGAGGGTGCTGTATTTGTTAATGTTAGGTCTGAAATGGCTTAGCAGTGTTGCCCATAGCTTAAGCCTTTAGATAAGTCATCTTGGGTGTAGTGAATGAGAAAGCAGGACTGCTGGAAGCATACTGATAAGGCTTACTTCACATCAGCAGCAATCTTTGGACTATCTAGCTGTACTAAATATTCTTTATGAGAATGTGTTTGGATTGCTCACAGAACTATGTAGCTCATAGCACTTGAACTCCCTTCATTTCCTGGTAGCACACTATTTCACTCTAGAGGCTGTCATGGCATTGCTATGGAAACAACATCACCGTTTCCAGCATGTACTCATCTTGAGACTCATCTTGACTAAAATACTCATTTCTCAGTCAGATCAATATAGTCCAGGGTTATCCTGTTTTAATAAAAAATTCCTTCTTCCATGTCCCAAAAGGGTTCAGCTAATTAGCAAATCACCATAGGGCCTTCTTATAGTCTAATGTATTCCAGTATTTGAAGCATATCATGGATAGTCAGATCGTTAGGCACCATATCTTGGGGAAATTAATTTACTTATGAAGTAAACAACAACAAAAAAAGAAAAGAAATAGAAAAAACAAAATAACATGGTACATCGATGGAGACCAAGTCTATGGCAGCCCATTGTGCACCCGAATATAGTGCATATATAGAGCATATATAGCGTTCTGAGAGCAGCCCCCAGGCTGGGGAAGATAGCTAGCCTTACAAAATTCCTGTTACCTGCCTCAGTGCCAAGCATTTGAATGCTAAACTGAAAGCAAATCTGCAGTATTCTCTTGGCTTTTGTGGAGCTGTAAGCTGGCAAGTTTAT